GGTGTTATGTACTTGAGCTCTGACAGTACGTGCAAATCGGATTCTAATAATGATTTTTTGTCTGATCTCCATACGCCTGAGTTTTTGAATAGTATCAATTGTTCCGGAATAGCGAACCATGAGTTGTATTTGAAGATTGGAACTCCAGTCATGTTGTTGCGGAACATGGATCATTCTGTGGGTTTGCGTAATGGAACACGATTGGTAGTGACAAAGTTATCGACTCACGTTCTTGAGTGTAAGATACTCACAGGAGATCATGCTGGTGATAAGGTGTTGATTCCAAGAATGACCATAACTCCTTCTGATGTTAGAATTCCTTTGAAGTTCCAGCGGTGACAGTTTCCCATTATGGTTTCTTACGCCATGACTATAAACAAGAGTCAAGGACAATCCTTATCTCATGTTGACTTATTTCTTAAGAAACCAGTGTTCAGTCATGGCCAGTTATATGTTGTTGTTTCCCGTGTCACTAACCGAAAAGGTTTGAAAATCTTAATTTGTGGCGAAGATGACGTGCCAAAGAATCAAACCAATAATGTTGTATATAGGGAAGTGTTAAATAATATATGATTTTTTCAATTTAATGATATATTTATATGTCTATTATTATGATCATGATCATTGCCTGCATAGCACAATTTATATATAAAATTGTTTTTTAAAAACATTCTAGATAATAATATCCCCGTGCATCGCACGGGTGACTACTAGTTACAATAAATATATTACCACATTAACCAAATAAGAAAGCGTAAATTAGATTTTAAAGTTTTTCAATAAATAAAAGATACAGTCTGATGTATATTTGTTTTTAAAAGAGTTACCAACTTTTTTGACTCCTAGAATTCAAATTATTAAATATAGTCTTATTAGTTTATTCCTAATATTTGTTTGGATTCTCAAATCCAACTATCTTATTTAATCAAAAATTTCGAAATATATGATAAAATTGTACCAAAATATTTATTTTATGGAATCATATTATAGTCAAATCTAATTTCAAAAATTTAAAATGACACTTATTTGAAATGAATATAATGTAACTAATTTATTATCAGTTACTTGCACCGTACGGGTTGTGTACTATTTTAATTATACATGTTTTATGTAATTCTACACAATTTAAATTTCATATAATATTTTCAGTAAATTAATATAGGTGAATTGTATTACATATGATTCTATATTTTTAATTTATAAATATTATTTCATAAGCATTTTTAATTTATAAATATTAATAAATATCTCCGTACATCGCACGGGATTCGTACTAATTATATGGTATAAAGTGGAAGACTTTATTTTTAGTATTTGATGGCCTTTATTGGTAATAAATTAATCAATATATGATATTAAGTGTGCAAATTTATTTGGGGTATTTGATAGCTTTTTTTTTAGGAAATTTGTTGGGTTATTCACAAACCCATTGTTTAGCCTCTTTCAAGGAAATTTTATATATCCACAAGACTGTACAAAATGTCATTCCTTAATATTTGTCATTTCGTGTTAACGTAATTAGACTGAAAGCGGAACGAAGAAGCAACAGATGAGAAGGGGCTTGCCTGAGCCTGTCAAATTCAGAATAAAGGATCTAAGAACAAGTAAACACCATTTTAATTGTAGATTCCTTATACAAGCATTTCGTGTATGATACTCAATTTGGTTGGAAAAATTACATTACTAGTTGCATTGAGAGTTATCTTCAGTCTCAAATCTGCAGTGATACGCCCATTCTAAGTAATAGTGGTGGTGCAAATATTTATAGCTAGCCTTGCGGGATGGAAGTCCTTTGTAGGAGGCAAGGCACTGGAGTCCATTGCCCTATTAACTTATATCAGACATGGCCAAGGGTTGAACCGGCCCGCCGAACCGGCCCGGACCCGGACCGAACCCGGCCCGGACCGGCCCGGAAAAGCCGGTTTTCAGCCCGGAACCGGACATATGGCGGGCCAGT